CGCGCCCGACGCGCCCGCCCCGCCCGCCCGCCCAACCCGCCGTCGTTTGCCAGCGACGAGTTCTGGCGGGGGGGTCCAACATGTTTCGTTGCTTCGCCAGCTCGATGAACCCCCTGGAAGCAATCCAAGGCCTGCGAACTTGCAGCCCGCCTGCTCGCGCGACGTGGCATGTCGTTCCCCACGCGCGTGGATTCGCGCTTCCCCGCTTCAGCTTGCTCGAACAATCGCTCTCGCGCGCCAGCGCGGCGCCGCGCGCGCGGCGCTTCTCGCGCTTGGGGCCGAGCGCCCGCCACGCGCTTGCCGCCAGAGGGGTGGGATCTCCATCTCTCCGAGGCGCGCTGCTCGCCGGGTCCGCCCGCGTCGCCGCGGCGCGCGAGGGGGGCCCGGGTGCTCGCCGCGGCGAGCTCGCGGCCTGAGTGAATCGCCAAGCCGCGACGCTGGCCGCCGATGGGCGCGATGAGCGCTCCGCTGCAGCATTCTGTCTGCGCGCTAGCATGTCTCGCGATTGCGGCGTCGACGGCGCCGCCGCGCACTGCGGTCGCGCGTTGGCTCGCTGGCCCGCGCGCGCGCGACGCGACTCGCGCGTTGCCTGGCGGCCCTGGTGCTGGGCAAGCGCCGCGGCGCCGCCTCGGAGGATGTCCGCGCGGCGACTGGGCTCGCAGAGCTGCTTCACGCGGCGGGGAAGGGGGGGTGACCGTCTGCGCCCGCCTCGGCGAGCGGGCGCGCAGCCGCGGAATCAGGCCTTCCCAGACGCCCCAGATGCGTCAATCCGCGTTAGCGCCGACATTGGCATGGAGCGCGCAGCAGCGAAAGAAAAAGTGACCTTGCGCGAACTGGCGTGCGAGCGCGATTATTCCGCGTGCCCGTCAGGCCCTGGCCGGGTAATCCCGCGGCGCCCGCCGCCGCGCGACCCGCGCCAGGGTGGGCTGATTTGGGCGACGGCGTTCATTGCGAGGCGAAGACACCGGGCATATGATTATTTGGCACGTCAGACAGAGCGCAACCGTTGCAGGCACCCTTGGGTTTCGCAGGTCGGGGCGCGGGCGTCGCCGCCATTGCCCGCCGCGCGGTGCGATGGCTATGCGCAGCAGGCTCTTGCGACTCAGTCGTTGAATTTGGTTCCATGCGGCGCGCTGCGAGACGCGCGGCAGCGGGCTTTCCGATGGCGCAGGGGGCATGGCACCACGCGAATAGATGGACCTCGCGGCGAGGTGCGCTGCCCTGCGCAATAGCGACCGCGCTACGCGCCGAGCGATGTTGCGGTCCACGCGCAGGTGCGGGGCAATCTTCCCTGGCGCAGGTATTGTCAGCGATCCCGAGAGGCGCGTCTGCCCGCGCGTTTCTCAGCGCAGCGCGGTCCCAGGTGCTCGCCCTACTGATTAACTTCAGCTCCGTGTCCCTCGTCGTGGTCATTGGATTCCGACGGCGGTTGCTTGGCTCCAGCGGGGTACACTGGCCCTTGCGTCCGTCGCAAAAGGTCAGCGCAGTCGCTCGACCGCGCCGTCGGCGCGGCCGCGCGCGCGCGCGGGCGCAATGAAGATCGCCTCGGAAATGTCAGGGCGCGCGTCAGCGTGACAGGTTTTCCGGTTTTACCAGGATGGAGAAATCTACATGGGGTTCGGCGCGCGAGCCATGGTTCCCCGCGCGCGCGGCCCCAACATCGCAGCTGTCCAATGTGGCGCGGGGTGGCCTGACAAAAATTAGACGGCGCGCGCGCGAGCACCCTGCCGCCTCTTGAGAGCAGCGCTTCCTCCGAAAAGTCCCAGGTGCGCTTTGCGTTGCGAGCAGCTGCGTCGGAGTGCTTCGTCGCTCCGCGCTCTCCCGCGCCCCCAGCCCCGTCGTCTGCAGGAGTCTCATCGACGTCGCTTGGGCAGCGCGGAGGAATCGGAACGGGCCCCATCTGCGATTCGCCCGATTTGCGAATATGCTTGCCATGTTTGTGCTTGTGGCTTGCATGACTTGCAGCGCGGCCGCTGTCGCAGATTCGCGGCGCCCCTGGCCCTCGCGTCGCGGCGCGCAGGGGCGCGCGTGCAGTTGCGGACAGGCGCGCGTCTGAGGCGCCGCGGGGGGGGGAAGCGCCTGTGCTCGAAGTGAGCTTGGCGGGCCAGCGCCGGCAGGGCGCTGGCGGCGCGTCTCGACGCGGCACGGCCAGGACGCCCCGGCCGCGCCTTATCCAGAAATAGCCGATCTCATAAGGCGCAGCGCGTCGCACGATGGAAGACGCGCGACGCCAACCAGCCTGCAGTTCACTTGAAGAGGACAGGCGGGCCGTCGAAGCGGCGCGCCCCCGTGGCGCGCGCGCGCCGGGGCGCCGAGCCCGCCGTCTCATCGGCAGGCTGGCATGCGCAGCGTCCGCAGTAATTTTTCGCACGCGTTCGAAATCGCGCAAGATTTGATCGGCAGCGCGGTCGCGGAGTTGGCGCGGCGCTCGGGAAATTCTTCTGCGCAGAGGGCGCTCGCTACGAGGCGCGGCCCGCTTGCCGCCGCAACGACAGCGCGCGTCGTCGGTTGCCGCGGCCGCCGAAGGCCGTGGGAAGTTGCGCAGAGGCGCGGACCCTTGGCGATGGCTTGCGCCGCCAGATCGGTTGCGGCGTTTCTCTTGCAGCCGAGAAACTATATCTTTCCTATCGCATCGGGTCGGCCGCGCGGCGGGCGCTGCCCCTGCGGTGCAATTCAACGTGGCCCCGCGTCGGCCGGCGGACGCAGCGACACTTCGAGCGATTTCGGACATCGAGCATCGCCGGAACTTGGAGGGCGCGCGGCGCATGGAGCAGGTCGCCCGCCGCCATCGCATCCCCGTCGCCGCGCGCGCGCAAGACGCGCCAGACGCCCGATTTGGCGAAGGCGGCTTCTGAGATGGCCGGCGTGACGCAAACCGTCTTGGATGCGCTGCGCGCTGGGCCCGGCGCAGATGGCAGCGCCGTGCCAGCGGGCGGCCTCCGTCGAGCCGTGTTCAGCGACAGCGCCGCGGGGTTTGTTGAATTTGCTCGGCAAGGTAACGGACCGCAGGTAGAAAAAAGGGGCGCGCCTGAAGGTATGGGCCGCTCGACCGGTGCGCAAAACGTTTTTTGCTGCGGCAAAAAAAAAAAAAAAAAGAAGAAAAAAAAAAACATAAGAAAAAAAAAAAAACAAAAAAAAAAGAAGAGAAAAAAAAAAAAAAAAAAAGAAAAAACAACAAAGCAAAAAAAAAAAAAAAAAAAAGGGTGGCGTTCGAGCAATTCCCCCCGCGGTGCCGTTCCCGACGATGGCTTCCTGCGTCCAGGCGAAAGTCGCGCGCCCGCGCCGGCGCCGGCGCTGCGCTTGCTGCCCCAGTCAATGGAAAGACGGCGCGATGCTTCCGAGCAGCTGGATCCCAGCGCGAACCGTTGAGTTGCGCGGGGGGCGGGCGCCGCTGCTGCGACGGGCCCGCCAGGGCGACATCGCCTTGCGCCGCGCTGGAGGAGAGCGCCCAGATTCTGCGCATGGAAGCCGCGCTCGCCAAGGCCGAGGGATTCCCGCTGAAGTCACGGGTCCGCTGGCGGCGCTGGCTGCGCGGCGCGCGCCAAGGCAGAGGTGGGCATGGTTCGGGAGGCGGTCGCCAGAGGCCGCTGACGCTGCCGCGCGACGCTGCGCTGCGCGGTCGCACGCGGCCCAGCGGCCGCAACGGCGCGCTTGCTGCGGCGGCCGCGCCGACGGCGAGGCGACGCGGGCGGGGGGGCGAGGGAGAGCGTTTGATTCATGGCGCGGCAGTTTTGGGCCACACGCGCGCGGCGCGCCCCTGGGGCGAGAGCTTGCCCGCGGAAGTTCGCCGGGACGGCGCGGCGCAGCTCGCGGGGCGAATCGCTTGGCTTTCGCTTCTCCCGCGCGGCCTGCGCGCCGGCGGGCCGCGGACGCAACGCCCCCCCTCTCGTCGCCCTCGCCCGTCGTGGCCAGCGCCGCCGCCCCGCCTGGGCGGACCTGGAGCCGCCGCCCTGGTGCCTCGGGCCATCGCTGCGCAGCGGCCCGGCCTGGGCGGGCCGATGCGTGGCCTCCTCGCGGGCCGGGCCCAGCGCGCGGCCTGCCGTGCTCGAGGGCCTGGTGGGCGGTGTATTGGGGGCCGGGGGCGAGGGCGTCTCCCGGCGGGAGAAACGAGCGGAGTTTCGAGGTCCCCGCCCCAGAGACCAAGGAGAGGTCGCGACTGGGGGAGGCGCGCCGCGGAGCGGGGCTGCCGCCCGAAGGCGCGCGCGAACAAATAACTAACTCAGAGCGCGCGCCGCGTCCCCCGCCCCGCCCCGCCCCCAGTTGCGATCGCGCAGACCGCGCGAGCGGCTGGGCGCGCGCGCGCGCGTGATCTGCGCGGCGCGACGGGTGCTCGCGGCGGGGCCAGCGCCAACGCAGCCGACGCCTGGCGCTCTCCGCCCCGCCTCGCCTGGGCAGGAGGGGCGAGGGCAGGTGCGACGGCGCCCGCGCGGGCTCGCGACGACTCAGCTCGCGAAGCGGGGGGGGGGCGCGGGAAAGCGCGCGCGCGCGAGCATCCCCGGCGCCTTCGCTTGGCATGTTTTTTGTTATTGTTGGGTTGCGCTCGCCGCGCGTGGGACTTGCAGTCCTGGCGTGGTGCGCCGCAGCTTCCCCAAGAAGCGCGATGGGCGAATGCGCTTCCGACGCGGGCGTCGACGCGGGAGTTCGGCGCGCGCGTCGCGCGCTCGGCGGACGATTAACTCGCCGACGATTTGTCCTCGCGCGGCCCCACCTGCCATCGCGAGCCCGAGCATGCGCAATGCTACTCGGTGAAGGCACAGAGAAGATGCACATGTCCTTCTTTCCGACAGGACCACATGCCCCGCCGCCCTGGTTCAAGCGATTCGAGGGCGCGCGGCGCGCGGGAGATTCGCGCGGCTGGGCTCGCGGCGACCGGCGCGATGCAGCGCGTCTTTTTCGCTATATCCGCGTGCGCTGCCATAGCCAGCGCCGCTCGATCATTTCGCGCCGTCGCAGCCGGCCGGGCAAGCGCGCCGCCGGATCGACGCGCGGCCGGCGACGCGCGCGTCGTCAGGCGAGCGGGCCAGCGCTTCCGGCACGAGCGGCGTCGCCGCTGGCGACGCAGATGTCGAGTTGACCCTGCGCGCGCCCGGCGCGGAAAGACTCCCGCGAGGCGGTGCGCGATCGTCGTCGCTGGCGCCGCAGAAGAGTCGACGGAGCAGGTTCTGGCTTCCTTGCGCGAATTGGCGGAGGACGCGCGGCCCGTCTAGCTGCGACCCCCCCGGCGCAGCGCGGCCGCAGCGCGAACGCGCCGTGCGCGACGCTGCTGACGCGGGAATCCGCGACGACAAGGGCGCGCTGATTGAGGCAGACCCCTGCTTCGCGCGCGCGCAGCCCGACTCGAGCCGGACGCGCGCGCGGCGCAGGCGGCGCGCGAGGCTGTCCGGCGAGGCGTTGCCCCTCAGCGCCGCGCGCTCGCGTCGTTCCGCGCCCCGACCCAGCGGGAAACAATGCGATCGTCGATCTTCAGTGCGGCGGCGCGCGCCCTCCCCGCCGCCTGCCGATAGCGCGGCGGCCTCGGCTGTTCCATGCGTCTCGCGCTTCAGTTGGAGCCGATCATGGGGGGGGGGGGTCGTCGGCGTTTGTACGGAGCACTCTTCGTTGGTTCCTCCGCGGGAATGCGAATGCTGTTCTCCCCCGTCGCGCGCCTTCCGCGCGTTCGCCGTTTGCCCGGCTCCGCGGAGTCCGTGTTCGGCTTTGACCACGCCCCCAGTTCAGAGCGTCGCTCGGGCCCCAGGGTTTGCCGCGTCTTCGGCGCGGACTGGCGCTCGGATTTCTGCGTGGCAAGCGGCGCTCTGCCGCGCGCTCCGTTGCTCCTTGCTTGACGAGCGCTTCGCGCTCGTCGGCGTAATTGAAGATGGCGCATGCGTTCGCAGGCGAGTGGTGCAATCCTCGGCAGTGCAGGCGCCGCGTCCGCGGGCGCCAGGCCCGAGGTGCCTCGCCGTTGCATCTGCAGCGCGGGGAATGATTTGCAGGCTGCCAAGTTTGCTTGCCTCAGGGCGCCCGCCAGAGCGGGCGGCGCCACGCGCCCGACGTAGAGCGCGCCGCCCTGCCGCCGATGAAGTGCTACTCGTTTGCGCGACGCAGTGCGCGACTTTGCCGCGCTGTGTCTCGCGCGGCAGCGGCGACGGCGACGACGAACCTCGCGCCGTCAGCGCGCGATTAGAGTTCGAGCGCAGCCCGCCCGGCCGCTTTCATTGCAT